CACGATCGAAAGGGAGCCACACTCCATCGTCCTGAACTTGCAGCACTTCGAATCGTCCCTGCAAAGTGCTTGGTCTACCACCATCTACTCGGACCACAATCCCCTACACTTCCTGCAGCAAGCCCAACTCAACAATCTACGGCTTCTACGATGGGCTTGATATCTGCAAAATTTCAACCTTGAGATTTCTACATCAAAGGTTCTGACAACATCATAGCAGACGCCCTCTCCAGAGTCTATGAGGTAGAGGCTGCTTCACCTATCGCTCTACCACCTGAAGACGTAACTTCACCTGGAACCGCAGGCTTCGGGGGAGAGTTGTGACGATAATCTCTTTCTAGAGAGATTGAGCCTGCTCTTCCCTACTTCAAGTTACGTCCAATTATACAAGTAGTATATATATATATATATATATATATATATATATATATATATATATATATATATATATATGTCGTACCTAGTAGCCAGAACGCACTTCTCAGCCTACTATGCAAGGCCCGATTTGCCTAATAAGCCAAGTTTTCATGAATTAATGTTTTTTCGACTACCTAACCTACCTAACCTAACCTAACCTAACTTTTTCGGCTACCTAACCTAACCTAACCTATAAAGATAGGTTAGGTTAGGTTAGGTAGGGTTGGTTAGGTTCGGTCATATATCTACGTTAATTTTATCTCCAATACAAAAAAATTGACCTCATACATAATGAAATGGGTAGCTTTCTCATTTCATAAGAAAAAATTAGAGAAAATATATTAATTCAGGAAAACTTGGGTTATTAGGCAAATTGCGCCTTGCATAGTAGGCTGAGAAGTGCGTTCTGGCTACTAGGTACGACATATATATATATATATATATATATATATATATATATATATATATATATATATATATATATATATATATGTGTGTGTGTGTGTATATCACGAAAATAAACACGTGATTAAGAATGTGACAATGTCAGACCACGGAGGAAAAATGAAACAGGAATTTCCTTAAGTACTTTCGTATATTAAATACATCTTCAGAAGGTCGAATATATATATCAAGTATAAGGTCGAGTATATATATATATATATATATATATATATATATATATATATATATATATATATATATGCGAACAAGCCTGAATGGTCCCCAGGACAATATGCAACTGAAAACTCACACTCCAGAAGTGACTCGAACCCATACTCCCAGGAGCAACGCAACTGGTATGTACAAGACGCCTTAATCCACTTGACCATCACGACCGGACATAATGAGGTGATAGCCGAGGCTATTTGAACCACCGGCACTCGGATAGTAATCTTGGGCATAGCATTTTACCAAATCACCTCATTCTTTGGGGCACACGTGAGGAACACAAATGCGAACAAGCCTGAATGGTCCCCAGGACAATATGCAACTGAAAACTCACACCCCAGAAGTGACTCGAACCCATACTCCCAGGAGCAACGCAACTGGTATGTACAAGTACTCGGCTATCACCTCATTTTGTCCGGTCGTGATGGTCAAGTGGATTAAGGCGTCTTGTACATACCAGTTGCATTGCTCCTGGGAGTATGGGTTCGAGTCACTTCTGGGGTGTGAGTTTTCAGTTATATATATATATATATATATATATATATATATATATATATATATATATATATATATATATATATATATATATATATATATATATATATATATATATATATATATATATATATATATATATATAGATAAGACTAATGTGGAAAGACATAGTCTCATTACTATTATTAAATTGTCTTGTTCATTATCCAGAGTTCAAGGCTGGCTCTAAGATCTACATTATCCAAATGTAAATATATATATATGTGAAATAGTTAGCTCTGGTTATGACTGTTTTAGCAGTCGATCTGGTAGAAACAAAAACAGAGACTGGTGACTGTGTGCCAGTTTTAGCCCTCTGTAACACATTCTAACGTAACGCAGAAATCATATTTCTGCAGTCCAAAATAACATTATGAAATGTAAAGTGAGACTTAGTCCAGCTCCATTACATCTCTTAGCATATATAAATATTACCTTCTGCCAGTTTTAGCTTTCTGTAACACAATGTAACGTAATGTGGAAATCATCTTTCTGCAGCTGTCCAAAATATACCACATGACTGAGGGAGCGCACATTCGAGCGGTGTACCTCTCCATGTCTGTCTATCACATGACTGGGTTAATGACCACATTATCTTACACTATACCTGCTCCTGCTTACCCCGTACACTAAGTAACGTAACGTGGAAATCAACTTTATGTCTGATGTCCAAATAACGTTATATCATTACATAACGTAACGTAACATGGAAATCATCTTTCTGTCTGATGACCAAATATAATTTTTGAAAAATGTGAAGCTTTGTAGATTTAATTTTAAACAAAGGTAGGCCACCAGTCCACGAACTAAGAGGGGAGAGTTAGGAAGAAAGACTTTGTGAAATATGCACAGAAGAGTTTGGGGAGACGTGTTCACCACCTACAAAATCTAATATTTTTTGTTAACTGCGTGATCACAACATATACCTCCTGAACTCTTGTTTTGCCTCACACTAGTCAATAAACACAATTTTGTGTCATTTCTTGACTAAAATAGCACTCCGAAACATCTTTGCACTTTTAATTTTCATTGACACGTGCTCAGCTATCAAAGGGAATCTCACTACTGCACGGATGTCTTGGGTGTTAAATAATCGGTCCTTACCTAGCTTATCATTTTCTTTGAGAAACTTATATGTGGTGATCATATCTCCAGAGTCCACACAATAACACACACATCACCCATCTTCTGTTTTCAAATCACAGCTCGCATCTAATTTACTGTTATTTTTTTGCAGAAACTATGTTCTGAGAATATGCACAATGTCAGCAATTACTATTCGTATCATCAAAGTCCTTTCAGTTATCAAAACAAGCAGAGGTGCAGCATAATCCACTAGAGATCTGATGTATGCAAGTTACATCATTTTGACAATTCTGACACCGACCCGCCTTAGCGAGATGACTGTGCGCAACAGTAGCCCCAGCGAAAACATACACTTTTAAAATCGTAGCAAGACAATGACACAGAATGTTCAGCACTCTTAATAATTTTATTCAAGCACTGATAACATAGCATAATGTAAGATTTTTTTTCACATTTCATATCGTGTGTGTAGATTTGGTTTTAACAAAAAGTGAAACATGAGAGCATGAACTAATAGGGTTGAGATAGGAGGAAAGGCTTTGTGGAAGATAGAAGAGCTGAGGAGACATGTTCGCTACCTACATTACTATTATTTTTTGCAGACCTGCAGATCTGACCAAAAAAGCAGTCAGTCAGTCAGTCAAAAAAATTTATAGTTAAAAGTTTTCATCTTTAAAAACAGGGACTACTAGTCTTCATTTTTTCTTCTATCAAATCAAATAGGCGTGAGGGTCACTACCACATGACTGCGGAAGCGAGCATTCGAGCGGAGTACCTATTGTTGTTGTCTGTCTATCGCATGACTAGGTTAAGGACCACATTATCCCACACTATACCTGCTACGGCCTCTCACTAGTCAATAAACACAATTTTGTATCATTTCTTGACTAAAATAGCACTCTGAAACATCTTTGCACATTTTAATTTTACATTGTCACGTGCACAGCCATCAAAGGGAAACCTCACTTCTGCATGGATGTCTTGTGTGTTAAATAAAATATCCTTACATAGCTTATCATTTTCTTTGAGAAACTTATATGTGGTGATCATATCTCCTGAGTCCACACAAATACCCAACACCAACCCACATCCATATGTGGGTTGGTGAGAGAGAGAGAGAGAGAGAGAGAGAGAGAGAGAGAGAGAGAGAGAGAGAGAGAGAGAGAGAGAGAGAGAGAGAGAGAGAGAGAGAGAGAGAGAGAGAGAGAGAGAGAGAGAGAGAGAGAGAGAGAGAGAGAGAGAGAGAGAGAGAGAGAGAGAGAGAGAGAGAGAGAGAGAGAGAGAGAGAGAGAGAGAGAGAGAGAGAGAGAGAGAGAGAGAGAGAGAGAGAGAGAGAGAGAGAGATGTGGAAGGTGGAGGGGGACAACGTTGCTTAAATATTGTGTTGCTTGCTCAAAATCATAATACTGAAATAAATAAAATCATAATAATGAAATAACTATATTAAAAATATCGCGAAAAGAGGATTAATAGAAAAGTACTTATAAGAGAAAACTCAGGGTGGAGGACAGGAACTAGAGCTTGTGACCTACCTTGGTTCATTTTACTTCTTCAGAAATAACGATATTTCATATCTCATAAAAATGAGCTAAAAATAACGAAAATACAAGGGCGTACTAAGGCGGGGGACGGGAGCTACAGCATGATAACTCTGTTTTGTGTTCTGAGTCTGATATAAATATATTTTAAATCGCATGAGCGCTTTGTTAATAGTAACGATATTACAGCTATAATCTTTAGGAGGCGGATCCAAGAACTGACACTGACGTTTACTTTATTAACATATTACTCGAAAATAAGCTTTCTTCGACTTCAATTTAAGCCTAAAGTGCATGGCAGCATAGCGACGACTTTGAAGTCGTCGTTGAACTTCACGGAAATGTCATGGAAGTTAGTCCATGAACTGACATGCGACACTAATAGACACCTCATATACCACAAATTTACATATCCCCAGAAGATGGACACGATGCAACCACGATTACACCCTAAAACGGATTTGCCAAAACAAATATTCATCGCTAAACTACCTTTGTCCTACATTCAGCCACGTAATTGTGACTCATCGAATGCAACTGTTAGAGAACTCAGTAGGAACTTGGCCAAAAATGGTAAATGACATTTTAGAGAACTCACCTTGAACTTGGCAAAATATAGTAAGTTACCTGTCAGAAACGTTGAAACATGTCTTGCGTAATTTATCTGGAATAATTTAGAAACAGTAAAACATACACTAGTAAACTCCTCAGGAACTTTGCCAAAAACTGTAAAACGCATTTTGGTAAACTTACCTGGAACAATGACAAGAACGAAAATATTCCCAGAATCCAGAAACGCCTCAGGTAAACCATCATTCCATCGTCCTTGTTTTCTCGTTTTGTTCCTGTAAAATGTATTTCTGAGTCAGTATTAAGCCAATAACAGTGCCCAGGACAAATCCTGCAATAATGAATAACATTAAATATATGAAAAAGTACACAATAACAACGAACATTCTCTTAAAAATCCTCCTCAAAAGCTTTTTCTTCACATACGCCCATCACATGTACATTCTAATGTTACACTCTCTAAAATGATTCAACACTTACAAACTCTCCCTGACACATCACCATTTCTTGATTAACAACTGTTAAACAAAATCAGCTCTCCACTCGCATAGAGAAATAGTTGATAATTCCATAAATAATTGAATTGGTCACTCCACCTGTACATTCATGGAGAGGTAATGAACCAATCACTCATACTGAACACTCACGGAGAAAGAGAGAATGGACCAGTTACACCGACTCAACACTCATGGAGAGAGATCAACCAGTTACTCCACTTGAACACTTTTTCCATCATTTTGGAGTAGGAATGAAACAGTCATTCCACCTGAACATTCAGGGAGATGAAATGAACCAGGTATTCCACCTGAACGCTCACACTCCAACCTGTCCTCTTACAAATAACGTCGCTTTTGGCCGTTTACCAGTATGGCCGAAAGTGGACGTAATTTGAAAATGAAAATAAATTTGGGATTTTTTTTCAACAACAGTAAGTTAAGGGTCCTCTGAGAGGTTAGGTGGGCAGGACATTCTCATAAAGTTTCAAAACGTTATGAAAAACGTTAATTGAAAGTGTCCTCTTCTAACCTTACCGAGTAAGCCGGACAACTCAAACAGAAAATGGGACAATACGTTACTTTTGTGAGTCAATTTCATTTCAAATTACGTCCAAATTTGGCCATAGCGCGCATACGAGCGAAAATTTACGTTATTTTTAAGAGGACGGGTTGCACAGAGAGAAAATTAATTGGCTATTCCACCTGACCACTCACGGAGAGAAAATAAATCAGTCACTCCACCTGACCACTTTTTCCTTCATTTTGGAGAAGGAATGAACCAGTCATTCCACCAGAACATTCATGGAGAGGAAATGAACCAGGTATTCCACCTGAATGCTTATAGAGAGAAAATGAATCGGTCACTCCACCTGACCACTCATGGAGCGAAAACGAACCAGCCACTCCGCCTGAACATTCATAAAGTCAGAATAAGCGAGTCACTCCGACTGTACATCCCAACGACTACTACTGGTATTAGTCGCTGACAAGCGAAAAGCGACGACGACGAAAAGGACTGGTTGTGTTGAGATGTAGGTCTCATCCTAACCACATATTTAGACCTTGATAAAGCACTGAGGAGAGTGTGAAAGACTTAGTGTAAATCTTTACATAAAATACATAAATACATTAGTGTGGGTTTTTATCCTAAATAGTAACAATATTTTTAATAATAATCATTTAATAATCACACTAACGTGATGTATCAATTAGAAAATCTGTAGAGCAGTGATGAGGATCATCACGGCTCCTACGGATTTTATCATTGATATATCACATTAGTGTGATTACTCTCTGTGTATTGAAACAGGAGCGTCAGAGGCAGAACAGTCCTAAATCAAGACATGTTTCCAGGTGAACCCGTCCAAGATGGGGTAGGGCCCCATCGTGAAGACACATTAAAGATTTAAAGAGATAGATGGAGGAGTTTTATTTTCTGTAAATACATTTAATTATTTTTTGTTAGGAAAACATTTATTTTGGCATGATGATGGATTAGCAGGTTTGTGTGGGAGAACTGCAACGTTTGTGTGGGAGAACTGCAAAGTTTTGTGTGGGAGAAGTTAGTGAAGGAACTTCGTACCAGAGGAGGTGTGTATGCTGACTCCAAGTGTGAGTTGAAACTCACAAAACTCTCTCCACTTTGGAACTCAGAAAACAGTTGAACTCCCTCAACAGAAACTCACTCAAAGTTTAGCTCCCACAAAGTAGGAGCTAAACTGCAAGGTGGAGTAGGATTTCCAGTGAGGAGTGGAACATCATGGACATAGTGAATCTACAAGTAGTGTAGGGAGCTACACGTCTTTTGTGTGAAGCTGTGTGTGAGAGAGCTTCACTGACATTCGAGGACTTCAGATGCAGCAGATCGGAGGAACTGTATGGAGTACCTAACCTGATTTTGGAGACCCAGACATGTGTCTTTGATAGCGGACCTAGGGGAATAGAACAGAGGACCGTTGGACACATTGAGGTTTAAGAGAGTGTGCTTGATTGCGTTTTTTGGCGTGAAAGGCGCAGTGCGAGGTGAGAGATTGATGACTGTAGATATATGAATATTTTTATACCCTGTATTTCAATCCAAAGCAGTGAATGATGCAGTAGATTGTTAGCTGAGGAGTGGGCAGCAACTTAGTACGGTTATAGGATGAAGACTTAGGGGAATGTTGGAGTATTATCAGTTGGTAGCAGACTGAGGAGTTGCATAGTAATATTACTGTTCTTGTATATGTATATTGTTTGTGTTTATTGTTATGATCTCAGCCAACAGGAGAAACGAGTCTCCCCCTTGAGAGTTTTTCAACAAGCCTGACCTAACTAGAAAGAATAGGAAATATAGAGGCAATAACACAGATGTAAAATAGTTTGTTGGATTCAATGAACAGTTTAAGATTATGGGCAGTAAATAAGGAAATAGATAAATGACTGGCTAGGAGATGTGGATATTTTGCTGGAGGCGTGAGGCTCGCTTCTGGAGGGCTTTGACCTCACTTGAGGCCAGACATCGCAGGGGGAAAGCCGCGCTCCGTTTGAGCTCCTGTCAGAAAGGTACCCCTAGTGATATATCTCCAAGAGAAGAGAAGTGTGTAGACGTGCCAGCTGTAGAATCGAGCTGGGAACGTTGTGGTCTCAAGTCCTGGTCGACGAGGAGAGTATTAAGCCGCCCAGAGACATTTTCGTGGGCTGTGGAATCGCCCTGACCAGGCTTCGTCAGAGGGAGGAGCGCCCTCGACCAGATAATCTGTGGTTTGTCTTTGGGGAAGAAGTTTCTGAGAACTTCGAAGCCAGTACAGAGGGAGTAGTTGATGAGACTCCAAGGTAGTGGAGCAGAGGACCTCGAGCTGTGAGGAGAAGCAGTGAAGAGGAGTGTCACGTGCTTCTGTAGAGGTGGTGAAGCACCATAGTTGCTCGAGGGAACTTCATGGTGTAGCAGCCAAGAGAGCTGTGGAGGAACCTAGCAGAAGGGTGAAGCACCGTAGTTGCTCAAGGAAACTTCATGATAGCAGCCTGGAGGAGCTGCAGAGGATCCTGGTAGTTAAGCCCGGAAGAACCTGAAAATATCAGGGTAGTGAACTTCCATAGGTGGAAGGGAAGTTCTGGTTGATTACTTGTAGGGAGTTGATAGTGTTTGGTTGTCATTAGCGTGCAAGACGCAGTGAGAGGTGAGTGATTGTTTGCATTCTTATGTCAAGGAGTGTTTTATACTGAAGTTTAGAGTTACAGTCGTAGGCTGGATTACCTACAGATGTATGTGTTCTAGGACTGATAGGGTGATCGATTGATCATTGTTGTGTATCAAGGAACATTTCTTCTGATATATGTTAGTGCATTCACCTGCTGATTTTCCTTGTACACGTTTATAGACATATATATATATATATATATATTCTCTTGCTGATAGTGCAACAGTGTATGTAGACTTGATCTACTTAAGGAGGTTGATAGTATCAGGTGGTGAATCAGAAGATAGGATACCACTTGGTAAACTGATAATAGAGTTCTGATTGTGTTGGAGAGCAACCTGATTGTAATAGTATAGAGTATAGGATTCATTCTTATTATATGTGTATATGTATTGTGTATGTGCTCTGTCCAGTAAATGTATTCAAATTTGCTGGTATTTGACCTTGTCCTAGTGAGGCTTCCCATGAAATAGTACAGAAGGAGAGAGAGAGAGAGAAAGAACCAAGAACCACTGTTGTGGACAGGGTAGAATGTAATACTAATAAGTACAAGGGGGATTGAGGAGATCATATCACCTAAGGAGAGAGTGGGGAGTCACAGCGGCTCGAGTGGGTGTGTGCACGTGACAACGAGGCTAAGTGTTGGAGCCGCATCCCCTAAACGTGTGACGTTGAGCCCCTCTCCAAGAGCCAGAAGCGCCAAGGGTTATCTCCTAGAGAGGTATAAGCACTCTACCGAGTTGTGGGTTGGGTTGTCCGTAGAGAAGGATCAACGACGACAACACCACCAACCCACAAAACTATAATATTATGTATTAAATATCTCATATGTTAGCTTGCTTTTACTCTTGTCCTGGTCAGGCTTCCTAGCTAGTGAGAGAGAAAGACATGGCTATAACTTGGATGATAGTGGACCATAACTAACTTAGAGGGATTGAGAGATCATCCCACAGTAAGGAGAGTGCAGGGAGTAAGAGCGGCTCGAGAGCAGGTATGTAATGACAACTAGGCAGTGTGAGCCGTACCCCTGAATAAAGGTGACACTGACCCCTTCTCCCGAACCAGACACCTTCTCCCGAATCTCCCAAATAATTGTAACCACGCCAGTGTCCATTGTTGGTCGATTAACGGCAGCAAAAGTGTGGCTGTCGTGGTCGGTCATTTTTCTGTCAGAGAGTATTCAGGGCCTCTGTTCGACGGTAGGCTAGTATCAGGTGGGTTCCAATAACCGAGTTTCATTGTATAACCCCCCCTCTCTGATATGACATACATACATACATACATGCATACATACTGTTATGGACTCGTCGCCCTTGTCAGGGGGTAGAGTGGCAGCTCCAGCGCAATCTAAGAGTCCGCACCCAAACTCCCCGGGAATAGTACATAATACGGACAATACCATCTGGTGGTGGTTATCTAGTACCTGCAAATGGCTAAAGATTCCTGCCCCTGGTCGGCCAGAGGGGTCGTTGTGAGTGACCTCTGGTGAGGTGACGCATCAAGACCTGTGCCACCTAGTGTGTGCTACAGAGCACAATGTCAACTCCTCAGTGGGTTAGTGGTATTTCCTAGTTTCACCAGTATCGGCAAGGTCATTGA